TAAATGTTAGTTATTGCAACTGATCTTTATTGAAGGTAATATAATAGTTTTATCTCATATATTATTAAAATTAGATAAAACCTCTGTACAACAGCAATCATTGGTAAATAAAATTTTTAACAAAAAGAGGTTGCAACCCTCAGGAATTAGGAAAAGATGTAGAATCTTATTATGGTGACAGTCTTTTTAAAGGGGTGGCCCATTATGTTTGATTTAGTTTTTAGGAGCAAAATGACGAATAATCCAAAACCTAAATTCTTCCTAAAAATGTAATTTTAAGAAAAAGCAGTTGAAACTGCAAAATAAAACTACGAGCTCTTTTTATTGTGAAATATTTGAATTGTTTCATGATTGATAAATCCGTCTCACCTCGTTTTTCTGAAATTCAAAAAATTTAATAATGGCAACATGTAATCGTGCAGTTGCCGTTCTCTTATTGGTCAAAATACGTTGTTGTCAAGTTGACATTGTTAGTTCACGTATTTTCCGACCGCAAAGATCTTGACGAACTGTAAATAGGTATTTATTATACGACATATAGGCCGACAAAGTTATCTGACCCGATGGGGAAAGGTCAAAGCAAATTATAATAGCCGACTCCTTTCAATGACTAATACAAAAAAGTCAAGATTTTTTCGTACAGTAGCTGGCATTTACATTTATCCTTTATGCCATTTTCTATGCCCATACAGGTTTTAACATTTTCTATGAGAACTAATCACGATAGCAGTCTCTCTCTCTTTCTCTCACTGGTCACCGGGCCAGATACACTTGTTAGACTATAGTATGTATTTGAAAGTTCAGCGACTTCTAGTTGTGTTCTATACGCGCCTATACTTTCATGTGTTCATCTTTCTGTTCTGACTACGTCGACAATTTTTAAAATTATCCTTATACGTATTTTGTTGCAATGTGAATTTAAATAGTTTACTAAATGTTATTATTTTCAATAATGTAGTGTTGACGTAGTCCTATAAGATATGAAATTTATTGCTCGGTAACTGCAGTTTTTACTTGGATTTTGATATATAACATTAGTTCCTATGAAGTCAACAGAAAAAGACGCAGGGGAACTCGAAGAAATCGGTGATACCCAGCTAGATGAGCAAACAGTGACCCCAGACACACAACTTAATTCTGAAAACATGGATGGAGACGCGAAAAAAACGCAAATTTATTCAAGTAATAATAGATTAAGACATGGTAAGTTCAAACATGTTTAATCCTTATTTACTTATTAAAAATACATCATAATTAGCATAATTGGGACCAAAAAAAAATCTATTTTCTACTTTTCTCCTGCAAAATGTGCGACAAAATTTGCATGCCCTTAGGTGAAAATGGTGAGCAGCTTTTTAAAGCATAATCCATTTAATAATATTGCGTTTACAGCAGGGTACCTCAAGTATGTAAGCTTGGTTGTACTCACCATACAGAATGCTGCCCTTGGTCTCAGCATGAGATATGCGCGTACGAGGGATGTAGTCATGTTTTCATCGGCTGCAGGTAAGATTAAATTGATATATAAAGCGAGCAGTAATGACAAATTTATGTTCATTGCAAATTAGGGTAATATTTTTCAAACATACATATATTGTACAGTAGAACCTTGATAACTCAAACCTCCATAACATAAAAATCTCTATCATTTCAAAAAATTATATGTTTCCTACCCATCAGAGCCCAAAACCTCTATAACATAGACCCTTGATAACCTAAAACCTCCATAACTTAAAATATTTTTTTTCCCTTGGACTTTAACTTATCGAGGATCTACTGTGTGTGGCAAGTTTATTAGATTAAACATCTTCCCCAGATGGAGCGTTTTATCTTATTTTTGAATATCTAAGAAATGAATCTAAGTTGAATAATGTTTTTAGTTATGATGCCACTGATCCTTCAAAACTAAAGAGTATACTGAATTAAATTATGTAGACCTTGTAAATTTTATTATAATGAAATAAAATTCTAGTCATTACTTGTTTGTTACAAATACTTGAATATTTTCATATTCAAGGATAATCATTTAATTCCTTGTTTGTTTTGCAGCTGTATTTATGGCAGAGATTTTCAAATTATTAATATGCATTTTACTTGTGATAAAAGAATCAGGAAATGTAGTAAAAGGTTTCCATACTATGTATGCAACTGTTGTATTGAACATTAAGGATACATTGAGAGTTTGTGTGCCATCATTATTATATGTTGTCCAGAATAATCTGCTTTATGTTTCCGCTTCTAATTTGGATGCTGCCACATATCAGGTGAGTTATACATTTAAAAGTTATGTACTGAAAACACACTATTAATTCTTTTATGATTATCCTATTCTTAATGTTTTTTATAATTAATGGTTTTATTCAGTTTTATTGTGATAAATTACCAATTTACTTTATGCAAATTTTATCATCTTCCTGCTTATCTTACTCCTGTAGGGTTGGCACAATAAGTTTTTGTCCTCCACATAACTTATCATACAGGATCTCAGTCATCACTGACTCATCAGCTTTATGCAAATTTCTGTTTAAAATATTTCTAAGTTACTATATTGGTATTTTTCTAATGATAATGTTTCCCAATAAAAATTATTTTCCGTTTTGATCCTCTAGATAGTAAGAAATTCTTTATGTATTTTGTTTAGGTTACATACCAGTTGAAGTTACTTACAACAGCATTCTTTGCTGTGATTGTATTAAAAAGAAAACTGAAGCGATGGCAGTGGTGCGCACTTGGTATACTAGCGGGCGGAGTGGCCCTGGTCCAGTTGTCCTCAGCAGCTAAAGAAACAACTGCAAATTCACAAGATCAATCTAAAGTGATTGGATTTAGCGCAGCTTTAGCAGCCTGCTTTATATCAGGATTCGCTGGAATATACTTTGAAAAAGTACTGAAGGAGTCCGACATTTCTGTAAGTTTTAGTAATAATAGGTAATATAATGAAACATTGACGAAAAAAAATGTTTTAGACATTTTCATTCACTGAGTGTACAAACAATTTAATGGCAACTTTATTTTTGGCTGTACATTTATACTTCGGAGTTTTAATATGTGTTGCTACGGTTTTATCAACACTACAAAAAAACTCAATTTAATATGTATATTCAATGTCGACATAGGAAGTGCGATAAAAAAATGTTATTTGATATCAGTAAAAAAATTAATTAACTGAAGATATACTGCTAGCATATATCCATGTAGACGTATTACTCAAAACTCAAAATTATACATATAAAGGGCGAAATTAAATGGAAACACTAAGGTGCCTACAATCCCAAGAGAACCCATAGATAAATAAACAATGTAGGTTCTATACTATCGACCTCTCCCCCTACATAGACTATCGGATGGCGACGCCTATGACATCATCAAATCAAGGTGGAATATGTTGTATAACATTAAATTTATATTTCATTTATCGGCGTAAAGAACACGCTAAAACTAATTAAAATTCAAGGCTAATAGCAAAACTAATCAGTTGGGTAACAGTCATTGTTTTGTGACGAAATTATCACCTAAAGACATTAGAATGCATTAGTATTAATAATTAGTAACGTAAAGATAATTATGAACACATTTTTTCTTTATAACAAAACATTAGGCATTTTGATTTTATCAATAACATTCATATGACGCATTTGTTTGATAAAATTAATTGCATTGCGAAACTAAAACACGCAATTGCCAATATTTGAATCACGGCGTCGGTGGCTCAGGGGTTTGAGCACTTGACTTGTAATCATGAGTTCGAATCCTGACATGTACCAATGTGTTTTTCGATTTTATCGAATTTCATATTATTATATACCTGACGTTCTTACGGTGAAGGAAAATATCGTGATGCAACCTGCACAATATTAGCGAAGAAATTCAAAAATATGTGTGAAGTCAACCAAGCAGTGGGCCAGTGTGGTTGACTATGGCCTATATCACCCCTTAAAAGGGTACGCTCCGAGCCCCCTTTTTTTAAAATTCCGAGCGGTCGCAGTAGTCCGTGAGATGAGCGATAGTCCGTGATAAGAATACGTTTGTACGATTTTTTTTTACATTTCAGGTCTGGATGCGAAACGTACAGCTGAGTTTATTATCGTTGCCGTTTGCTGCACTCACATATCTTTTAAAAGATCCTGCAAGAGATTTATTAAAAGGATTCGATGGTTTCGTTTGGTATTTAGTAATATTGCAAGCGGCCGGCGGTTTGATTGTGGCGGTTGTGGTCAAATACGCAGATAACATACTAAAAGGTTTCGCAACGTCTGTCGCGATTGTTATATCATGTGTTGCCTCCATGTATATATTCGATTTCCATTTGACGGTACAATTTGCGCTAGGCACAGTATTGGTAATAGGCTCGATATTTTTGTATGGATATGTTCCTAAAAAGAAAGAACCCCGTACATCTTTAAGTGTATGACATTGTTTTTATACCGAATTCGTATTATTTTATCGATATATCTGTAAATATAGTTTTATCAGCTAGTACTAAAATGTACTTAATTTCCGTCGATTATTTTTTTACCGTTTATAATTAAATAGTATTCTATAGAATTGTTGAATCTGACGATTGCAATTAGAAATGCGCTAGTTTTCAAGTACAATAATAATATTTTTAAAGTCCAAGACATAAGAGAGCCAATGTTAGAGTGAACTATAATCTGATCCAACAAGACAGCTTCCATACCAATATCAATACTATTGGGAATAATTAACGTATTAATAATGTAAGTAAAATGCGATATCGTTATAATGATATTATTTTTTAAAATGAAGTTTTTAAGGTACTAATACAAATTTAATATTTATTGTGATTGTAATTCTAATCACCTTTTATACGTTATTAATTAATGTAAGTAAAAGATACATTTTTACTTTTAGTAACGTCATAATTTTAAATAAATTTTTGTAAACAGTTTCAGAGGTATTTTATTTCTTTTAGTATGGGCTTTATTTATGACGACTTCGCCCGGCCTAAAATTAAAAAAATAGTAACAATATATCCCATGTTACTCAGTGATAACATAGCTTTTTAATGGTGCAAAATTTTTTGAAATTGGTCCATTACTTTTTGAGTTATTTCAATACATACAAAAATCCAAAATACAAATCTTTCCTCTTTATAATATTTATTATTATTTATGATTAAAGTTGTAGCACGATTTGTCCATTGAGTCTTTGTTGATGTTTTTATTACCTTCGTTTTATAATAGGTGAATGGAGTTTGTACAAAAGTCACAATTAATCTTAACTTTTAACCTTTCAAATAATGTAGGTCACGGCTTATGTTTAAATTGTGGTTAGCACATCATTGCAAACAGATACCGAAAACAAGCATTGACCGAAAAATTCAAAAAGATGACAAAATGATACATGTAACTTTTTTGACAGTCAACGACAGCAAATTAGTGTCACATGTAATTTTAAAAGATAAAAATTTTGTAAAGCTTCCTTTTCAACGTACTATTTGAACCGGAAAATGATTAAAGCCAGATATGTAAACGTACGACCTGACCTATATTATGATACTTAGGTACTAAAATTATTCAATAGCGAATGAATTTGTTACCATTTACAATGCATGTATAAAGTTTATACTTATCTTATTTTGTTTAACAACCAAAATCTTATAAATACCTCCATTTATAGCTTAGCCAAGAATATAAAGATCCTGCCGAGGACGCTACAGTCTGCTTCTCTATTACATCACTTAATGTACTATGCCAAGAAATCATATTAATATTATAAATGTAAATGTTTATATGGATGGATGTTTGTAGCTTAAACGACTGAACGGATTTCGATGAAATTGGTATAGATGTAGAAGATAGTCCAGAACACATAAGTAACACACTTTCTCTTTTTAATTCCACGCGGACGGAGTCGCGGGCGAAAACTAGTTAGTAACACGTTTATTCTAAATATGGACAGAGATTCAATATTTGGACAATGAAAATTAAACGAAATGTTATTGAAGTATGAAAAACGCCTTGTACAATTATGGTGGCAAACTTTTCAAATAAAAAATTGGTCAATCACTTTGATAATAGCGACATCTAACGATCTACCATGCTTTCTGCTTCGTACCATGGCTTTCGCCGGCTAAAAAAATTGTATGAAAATAGTCAATAGTCATGATCTACACATTAAAAAATAGGAGAACAATACTGATGTTTAACTGTGGATACTCATGGTTATTAAGTTCCACTAAGTGGGACATCTGGATCTGATCCTTATAAATATGTAAACCTCCAAATGGTGTGCTAGTTAATAAAAAACCACAACTAAGCCATAACTGTTTAATGAATACTTAAATAAAATACACACAAAGTATCTATTTATAATGGTTTTATTAATACATTCTACAAACAATTCTCTATATTAGCACAAAAGTTATTCATCATTTTCGAAATCGGCAGGGTTCTTGCGTGTGCGTCTGTGATGTTCTCGGTCAACTCCTTCGTAGACTAGATAAGCTACAATGAAAGCTGTAAAAAAAACAACAAATTGAGTAATCAATATTTTATAAATGGATTGATGTTTAGAATGCATCTGAAAGACATTGATACAGAACATAGTCTGGAGGAGCACAAACACTACTTGTTATTTTTTTTTATTATGTGCCAATGGAGTTACAGGCACAAGCATTGTGTAGTTTTGAACTTGCATTTATTTATGAAAAAAAATGTCAATGTCACCATCACTAAGTATGTCATTTTTGTTGTGGAAATTATGTTAAGAAAATTTTATTCTCACAAAAATTATTATAGCAAAATCTCTGTGAACTTTTACTAGCTATGATCATTTGAATACAGTTTAGTAACATTTATCTATATATTGTTATAAAATATTAAAATCCAATCCCCAATATTGGACATTTATAAACTTGTTTAAAATTTCCTATTCATTATTTCTATGAAAAATTAAAGTGTTCAGCATTTAATAAGTATGATATTGTTAGTCTACCTTGTAAAAATAAGGCTTTTTTGGTATTTTAAAGATACTTTAGTTCTTCAGTTACTTTGTAGTTAGGATAAGTAGACTCACAAATGTTATTTTTATAGGGAAATTGTACATGGAGATGGACAATATATATTAACCGTTGTGAAGCTTATTGACCTATACAATTATGTAAGTTTTACTTTACGATTATATTACTAGTAAATGAAAGAACTTACGTGGAGCAACTCTGAATATATTTTCACGAAATCTGCGGAAAATGTTCGGCAATCCATTGGATATCGCACCAGCATATGCGCGTTGTTCGTGCGGTGATAACTTATAAGTAATCAATCCTCTGATTTTTGCTAATTCACCGAAATGTTTTCCCATTTTGCTACTTTTTTGTGCTTGATTTTGGATTAAATTAAACCAACTTTTCTCCTTTGCATTACATAAGGCGGAGTCACAGAGTATAAAATTATGGAGTTGGAGCACAGGCAGACAGGCACAGGAAAATGTTGGATAATATAAATAAAGAAATGTTCTGAATCAAAAGAAATAATAGGTACTTGGGTATGTCAATATTTCTTTTTTGTGTACACTCCCTTGGTATCAAGACTAAAATTATATTAACTTCTTGTCAATACTTTTTCCAGGGTGTATTTTATCATCTCTTATAAAAAAATGGCAATTATTAGTCATGCCAATGTCAGTCAAGTCAAAAGAAAGCTGTCATCTGGTAAGTCGAGTGTCAAATTGACAAGTAGACGCGACAAATAATTACTTAGAAGAGATGTTTTATAATGTATATCAGTTTTCTTCAATAGTGTATGATAACAGTCGTGTTTAAAATTAATATTAGGTAGTTAGGTGGTTGTAATCACATTAAAATGTCGTTGGGTTGTTTAGCAGCAGGGGATATTTTTATACCAGTAGAGATAGAAGAGGGCGATATCTATGCGGGAATTTTCAAAGTTCTTGAAAAAATTAGACCGGATTGGCCTTCAGAAAGTATAACATTTAAGGTAAATAATAATACTCCGTCGCAAATTTATGAAAATCATGTGCGTGTCGAAGTTTACCATTTTTCATTCACAATAATTGTTTTGCAGCTTTTTACTGACGGTATCACAAATAAACTTGTCGCTTGTCACTTAAGCAAAGATATTAGTGAAAGTGATGATATTGTACTTGTTCGCATTTATGGAAATAAAACTGACTTGCTCATAGATAGAACTGCAGAAATAAGGTATGTAAAAATGTTATGGCTTAACTATTAAAAGTAATTAATTTTATTTTACATTATCATTTTGATGTTTTAAAGGATGTGTTTGTTTTAGAAATATCACAACACTGAATGTACTTGGTTTGGCACCAAAAATATATGGTGTGTTTAAAAATGGTCTTGTATATGAATATTTCCCTGGGGTGACTCTCAATACTGACACAGTGGCTGAAACTAAAATTGCTACAATGGTGGCACAGCAGATGGCAAAAATGCATAAAGTACAACTTGGAAAAGAAGTAAGGAGATTGATAAACATACATTTTTAATTGTCTCTTTAGTGCTGTACCAATATTATGTTTGAGAATACTTTATGAATGAACTAGCTGTAGCCCACAACCCATGGTTTAAAAAAAAACTTAGTAGCCTCTGTGTCCTTCCAGACAATGTCCTATAATTATGCCAAATTTCAGCTAGATTTTTTGAACTATTTTAAAGATATTTATTAACTAAAATGAAATCTTTCACATTTAAAATATTAGTTAGATATGAAGATGAAAAAGATATCTGTACCCATGGTGACAAAGTTAGTTGTAAATAGAATTGTTACAAAAGAGTTTGTGACAGCGAGATAAGATTTTTCCACACTTACAACTTTGATAATATTAATCCCATTCATGATATAGTATATTTCAATAGATTAAAGGATTACAATTTTTTGCAGTTTCTATTTGTTGTTTATTTAATGTGAATGATTTTTTTTATTGTTGTAGATTACAAAAGAACCTATGATATGGGATAAAATTGAACAATTTCTTTGTTTGATCCCTGAAACATTTGCAAAAGAAGAGAAACAAATAAGGTAATGAGAAAAAAAAAATGGAATAACACCACATTGTAAAATATTGATTGTAGATCATGAATCATTGAATGGATAAAATGTAATGCTTTATTTGTTTTATCTGTGTTTAAACTTTTTTCAATGAAAATATTTGAAAATTTCAAAATTGTTAATATACACATTTTATCCACTGTTGTAGATTTGCAAATAGTTTTGGATCAGTAACAAGACTAAGGATAGAATTCGAACGGCTTAAGTGGCACTTAATGAAAACTGAGAGCCCGCTTGTGTTTGCTCACAATGATTTGCTTCTAGGAAACGTGATCTACAATGAGTCCAAACGGACGGTATCCTTCATTGACTATGAATATGCCGCCTATAACTACCAGGCTTATGACATAGCAAATCACTTCAATGAATATGTTGGTGAGTACATAACAATGATACTGTTAATCTTACTAATATTATAGATGCAAAAGTTTAGATGGATGGATGGATGTTTGTCAGAGTTTGTAGGCTAAACAACAGAACAGATCTTTATGAAACTTAGTATTGATATAGTGGATAGTCTGGAAGAACACATAGGCAACTCACTTCTGTTTCTTTTAATTCCACGCGGACGGAGTCGCGGGCTAAAGCTAGTTAAGTATATATGTAGTACATAATTAAATGAACCAGTTTTATTTACACTTGAGATAGCAAGATACTATTGTATCTTTAAAGTTCAACAAGAGTATAATGTAAAATAGAAAATTTAAATAACATAGTTTCCTTACATAGTAAATTACTTATGTAACTAGTAGCTAAGATAATTTCTAATACCAGTCTATGATATGTTTGTAGATCTGCAAATAGATACTGTGCGCAAGTCAATTTGAATATTCAATTTTCAATATTACATATATTTTTGTACTCTTATAATTACTACACCTACCTATTGGTTTTTATCTTGATCGTAAATGTTTATAAAATCTTTACTCATAAGAGTTAAATTCAGATTTATTTAGTAATTCAAGATCCGGTTGTTATCTAATAACTATAAATATCACAATAGAATCATCCAATCATCCATGCTGTGGCTTCAATTGGTACATTGTATAGCAATAAAATATAACACAGTACAGTAAAATTCCACTGCCACCAGTTTACAAATATGTTTTTCCATCTTTTTCATTATATTTAAAAATAAAAAGGACATTTTTTTTCTTGTAACAATAGTGGGAATTTAAAACTGGTTTACATCAACAATAGTAATAAATATTGCATTACAACTGGAAAAATGTACATCAATAACCACAACGCGGAATGCAGTTTGTTAACATTATTCCAGTTATAATCCAGCTGTGAAACTGGAACAATCTATCCCCGGTACAATAGTTACCTGTATATCTTGCTCATGATATATTTAAAGATAAATGTAAATTTTAACTTATGTCGGTCTTCATTGTAATTCGCTTCTTTATGATAGTTTGTGTTTAGATTACAATTAATGTTATATGTGATTATAATAGTGTTTAGTGTGTACAAGGTTTATCACAGGTATTATAATTTGTTGAGGTTAAAATGCTTACTATGCTTAACAAACAGGCAGACTTTATTAAGGTGTTATAATATTTTATAAACTAATTAAGAATTAGAGTAATAAACTAAGCCTAAAATGAGGGGCATGTAATGTTAGTACAAGAATTAGGAAAAATTTCTTATCATTTACATGACAACTTGGCCTTAGTAAATTGTTATAGTGACATCAAATTGATAAGAAAATTGCAAACATTTTGTAATAGTCCTCTTTACACTTCTTGCTTCTAAGTACATAATTGCTTTTAGATCAAGATCATGTGTTAGATTGAATTTCATTATTTAAAAAGTTACAGTGAAGAGCACAGACAGCGCTGGTTTTCTTATTCTGGACACTGTACAGTCCACTTTTTTTCAAGAGTATTTTTTCTTAACTAGGTATAAAATATTTCTTAATGAAAACAATATCATTTAAATACCATTTTTGTTCATCTTGAAGATGTCCAAATGTAATCGTACAAAGACCTTTTTATCTTTTATTGTTGACCTGTAATTACTTTTATCATTTGCATTAAACCTCAGGAATAATCAAAGATTTTATAGCAATAAACAAACATATTTAATGAATGATAAATGTTCTTAAAAAAACAGAAAATTGACATAGTTATTTGCTATTAAGAATATGTGTAGGCTTTCGGGAATGCCTATGTTCAGCATCCAGCAGTCATTAGCCTAATCTTAAAGTTGTAAATTTTTTTCTTTTTTTTTGTTTGGTTAAATGTTAGTGTACAAAATTAAAGATGAGTTTTTAAATCTTTCAGGTTTGTCTATAGACGACATAGATTATAATCGATATCCCGACAGAGAGTACCAAATGTTTTGGATTCGCACGTACTTGTCGGAGTATTGCGATGTAGAGAAGCCCAGTGAGGAGGAGGTGGAGAAAGTGTACAAGGAGGTGCAGCGACTGTCGCTCGCCTCGCACTTCATGTGGGGCATCTGGTCGCTAGTACAATATGAGCTCTCAGATATTGACTTTGATTTCGGAAGGTAAGTTTATGACATAAGAAAATAAATATAACTCCATTTGATTAGATCCAGCCTATTAAAATTACAATTGTCAGTTTTTCTGTTACGTTCAAAGTTTTTATAACTTAATTGTGTCTACAGGTACGCAGAGATACGGCTGAACAGATACTTTGACCAAAAGGATAAAATTTTAAGAGAGTTTATATAAAGAAATTACAAGAAATGTTTATTTCGTTCTACGGTATATCTGACTGTATATATATACCAATCTTGAGTACATTTAAGTTGTTGTACATGATATTATAATATATTCCATATAAATAAATGAATTATTTAATCAAGATAATCAAAATAAATGTAAATTAATACATATTCCTGTGTTTTAATTCATTTACACTCAAATTATTGACGCAACGAAACGTGAAGGACAATGACCTCGTATAAATGGTGGAAAAATTCGAATAAATAATGCTAAGAATCATCTTTCTTTTTTATGGTTTCGGTTTTTGTGTTCGCGATGACTTATTTAAAAATATACAATTACATAATTTGAATATTCTATCGTTTGCATACACATTTCAAAAACATTATCCTAACAGTAGTACAATAATACACTACGAGACCATATCATGTTGACTTTGTGAAGGCGAAAAAATATAAAGTAACCTTGTTTTTAATAACAATTGAATAAGACAAAAAGGATTTTTTAATGTAATGTCCACCAGTAAATATAGTAAATGCTTAACATTTAGTAACAGGTGGTGGAGGCGGTGGCGGCGGAGGGTTGGGGTTCACCTCGTTTATGTAATCTTTTGGATTTTTGCGTTTAGTTCGCCGATGTAGATCATCTATATAGAAATAGATCAATGCGCTAAAAGCAAACGCTGGAAAATATGTCATTTACTTTAATATGAGAGCAATGTAATCCCAAAGGGGTGAGCAAAGATTACGAATTTTTTAAATAATAACTTTGCCTGCCATTACATCTTCGGCTGCTCTGGAGTTAAGCTATTGACCCGTAATGCGCAGATCTAGGGTTCGTAGTAAAACATAGTGAGTGCGCTTCGCCCATATTGCAGATTTTTGATATATAGCTTTTTTAATGTTTTATATAAACAAAATTTTCTAAACGCATACTTACGTGGCATCCAGAAGGGTAAAGTCATCAACGTCCTTGGAACAAAGTTGGGTAAGCCTTTAGTTAAGGCTCCAGCATACGCCCTTTGTTCATAAGAAGATAATCGAAAATAAATTATTCCTCTAATATAAGCCAAATTTCCAAAATGTTTTCCCATGTTTTCAATAAATTATATTTGTCAACCTAGATAGACTTTATAATGTAAAGTTTGACACTATATGTCAAAGTTAGAAAATCAGTATTTCAAATTATCCAAGCAAATTACGTTTTTAAAAAGGTCACATGTTTTTATAATTTTTGATGTGATTAAATAAAAACTCCTTTTATTTTGTTAAATCATTCTTTACTAAGCTTTTATAACATTAAAAATGCACAATTAACATTTGTATGGGTGAACCATTTATTTTTTAAATGTACAAGTAGGCCAAAGGAACTTAAGAGCATTACAATCAAGTAAATAATGGAATTACACCGCTTCTGTGCCCATTGCAACTTCCTAGTGAGGGGGCTATTTTAACTGATTTAAGCACATTACTTATTAATTTGTTACTTGGTGTAGCATAAATCAAGGGTTAATTTTCACTCTGGTTAACGGCAAATAAACCGAACAATGAATTATAGCTTGAAAGATCTATAAATACGAAATCTCAAAATATTTAATTCACAGGTATAAGCTAATAATGAATAGTGCTATGGATATTGTTTTTAATTCATTTTATAGCGAAAATTCGAGACCCGGTAATTATGCCATACTAAAAGATATAGAAAGGCCCTTAAAATATTTTTAAATTTTATTGCTATAACACATCAATATACTGATAGCTTTTGGACTTAAAAGACAAAGTGACACATCAATATTAAATAGATAAATCTTTTAAAACGCAAGTTTTTACAATTCAAGGCTTTCTTGTTATTATCTACATTAATGACATTAACATAGAAACAACAATAAGAATTATTAAGAGATATAATCGGATAATTTTAAAATCACACCACTTCAATAGCAAAGATTTTCAGCAAGGGCCTGTCTATGCATTTTATAGTCACATTACAAATGTAGGAATGATGAATAAATGTTCTATGAGCTACATATTGTATTAAAAAAGTAACAGAAAAAGTGCAATCGTGTAAATTGCTCGAGGCGTTTCATATAATTTTATATAACTATAATAAGCATAGTAAATAATTTCGTAATATTTCATTACACGACATCTAGCTACGCGCAGATACCTTCGCAACATTAATATAAGAACTTAACTTATTCCGATACGCATACCTCGAAGGATACGTCGCAATTGCATCGTAAACAATTCACTAATAATAAAAAAAATGAATTAACTAAAAAAGTGCCAGACCGTACGGTGCACGATATACATAATACAGTACATAATGTATTCATTAAATAATAACCAAAAAAGAAACAGTTCTAATACAACACAGAGCTTTTATTGTGTTAGTACACGTGGCAGCAACCTGTAACGTCACGAGATGTGACAAGCCAGTTGTCGCATTAAGCCTGGTTTACATTAGGACAGTAGTGCTGACCTGGCATTTACTCACTGGCAACAGTTGGTGTATGCCAGTGCTACTTATGAGCTCTACTGGCATAATGTAAGCCAGGCATTAAAATATTCGCTAATGTTACTAATCGAATACTCGGTGATGACGGATATTTTCGATATTACCAACAAATCGAATACAAAAGTCGACTCTCATTCGTACGATATACTTCTCTGTTGCACCTTGCTCGTTCCCATATACATTCGTCTCGCTCACTCTTATATGATCCCGAAGCTAAATTCGCCGACTTAACTAATTATTTCTAGTTATTAGATGTTCCACGTTAGCAAACATCGATCATCCGCCAATGTTGTGATTGCAATTGATACATAAGACTAAATAATAAGCTAAATGCATACAACGAGCGATTTTAAGTACGTCAATCGTTTACTATGATGAGCCCAATTTTTTTACATATATCATTCATTTAATGTTGCACAATTATGTAAATCTACATTTTTATCACAAGTTACTTTAATGGTTATTTTACTAGTTAAAGTATGATTTACCATATTTCTAGAGAAAAGCATCTTCAATTTAATCAGAATATTAATACCATTGAAAATTACGATAATTAATAAATATAATAAGATAGACAGGAAATTACAAAAAAAAACTCAATAAGTTGGCCCACTTGGCAAATTAATAAAAATTAATAATTTCACTGTCAGACGTTGGCGCTTTCTCGTGTCGGAGGCCAAAACCCACTTTGGTCCGCTGTGCCAACGCAGCAAGTTTCATTGTCAATAACAAAAAAAGGATTTATGTAATTTTAGATAAATAAGTGTGAATTATTTAGTCTTATGTTTGTGTATTAATGCGGATTATTCCCAACCGGCACCCCTC